ATAATAATAATAATAATAATAATAATAATAATAATAATAATAATAATAATAATAATAATTTTATAATATAACATCTACGGATACCATAAAAATGGGAGCGAGAGACGTCTATAACTGAAATCGGCAATTACTTAGTTGTCAACCCAATAATTGTATCTCCTCTTCCCAAAATTGTCCACTTTTATGCGAAATCTAAGCGCAGATTGTTGTTACTTGGTATGTTACTTGGTAACATAATAATAATAATAATAATAATAATAATTTTATAATGTAACATTTACGGATATCGTGAAAATGGGAGTGAGAGACATCTATAACTGAAATCGGCGATTACTTAGTTGCCAACCCAATATAAATGTTTTCCTTTATTTTCATATATTTAATGTTTTAATTTAATATTAATGTAATATGTAGTGAAAAAAAAGGAATTAGTATGCTAATTTACGGATATTGTGTTGCCAGGAGCTATAAAATACGGCCGGCAACATGGCTGCACGAGGGAAGCCCGGTGGACATGATAACGATCAATACGAAAACGGAAATAAGTGGAACTGGACACAGATACGTTTCTGATTCCATTACGGCGGAGTTGCAAATAGACAACGTCAGATTAGAAGACGACGGTATATGGGGTTGCACGTTAGAGGATGGCCAGGGGAAGATCCTCGCTGGCAGACCCGTGAAGCTCGTTGTTCTTGGTAAGTCAATGTTCCATTATTACTATGCCAACATCAACCAAGCACCTTAATTTGCGCGTACTATCGCTTACAACCAATCGGATACCGGTGTAACGAATACTCTTTGGAATTAATACCTGCGCACAAACACTATGAACCTAATGCGGTGTGTGTGCGCGCGCGACGCGCGTAACGAACCAAGTACATAAACTGAAATAAGGAAACCAATTGTAAACATTTGAGTCACTCAAGCTTATGGTTTTTTAGAACTTCGTTTAGAACTTTCTTTCTTCGTTAGAACTTTCATACTTGTGAATTTGTTTAATAATACTAATAGTGTAAATTTTAATTGGTCCGAGACTATGATAAGGGACGGGCTAAACTACTCTAATTGCATTGAAAGCTACGTGTATTTGTATGGTTGCTCATGGTTTATACTCGTCCAAATTATTTTATTTAGTTAATTTTAACTATCAAGCAAGTAAAAGACGATTAATATTAGTTATCGTGGGAATAACTAATTATATGCCTAAAGCAACATTAATTGTTATTTTGTTCTCCGAATATATCTGCTTCTGTTTCATTAAAATTGGAGAAATGATTTGTATACAATTGAGTAGAATCAATCATTAATTATTTACATAGAAATTTTTATTATTTTATAAATAGATATATAAATTCGTATTAAATTTAAAAATCGATTGAAAGGCGACTAATTTTAATCTAGAAGAAGCCAATTTTATTTGCGGAAGAGTGCATTTAATTTTTAAAATGATGAATAAAATCTACAAAAAGGTAAAAGTAGTCTCCAAGAGGATTAATTTCGACTACAAAAAAAAGTCTTCCTGTATTTTCCGTTCTGGAGCTTTTGGCCAATCATGAGAATTCTCGGGTTTTTGTTGTTGTCATTTCCAGAGAATTAACGTTACGGAAAATGCATTCAGGCAAACATACCTACTTGGCCACTAGGTAAAACCAGCCATAAAACTGCTGGTCCGCAATGCGTCGACCTAAAATACTTGAAAATAAAATTTCCAGGAAAAAAAAGAATCTTTCTAATCGCGAAGACTCGCAATACAGATCGCTTCGATCGACCGCACCGACGACCGTGCTTGGGTCCATATGGACCCGGAATACTCTTACGCTTTTACACGCGACCAAAACCTGATCGATTTATTAACGGTGAAAACTAATTAATAATAACTATAAATATTTAATCAATTATCAATTATTTTTCACGAATTTTTTTTATCAATTATTTAATTATTAAGACTTTATCATCACTCGTCATATTCAGAAATTGCAATAACAAATCAGTAATCCATATTCAACTGTCCACTTCGCCCGTACATTTTCTTTCATCCAAAAATTTTCGTTCACTCAACAAATTTTCATTTCCAGTAAAGGTTACTTTTGTATTATTACATGGTACAAGTATTTCATCTTAACCTTGACAGATCCGAACATTGTAAATATAACATAATTTCAACTTCACATTTATGCAATTAATCTTAGGAAATCTTCATTCGTCATTCGAAAATATGCATAAGAATATCTACCGTCAATATACAGAGTGTCCCGAAATTATTGCACAAATGAGAAATGAGGGATTCCCGAGGTGATTCGAAGTAACTTTTTCCTCAGTGAAAATGCAATGCCCGGTTTTTCCGTTCACGAGGTATTAACGAAAACCCGTGACCCCTAATTTTCCGCTTGTACACAAATTTTATAACACCCTATGATTGACCTCCATATAAGGTGATAATTAAAAAGTTATACGTACAAGCTCGATACACGGTCCGAGTCAAATAGACCATAAACACCATAGCAGGATTAAATTCTTCGTTTTCGACGAAGTGAATTATTCCATTTTTTCCAATGCTTCGAAAACGCGACTTTCACGCGGCGTGTCTGGATTTCTTGTCTCGGCGCGACAACGTAACGCCGGAAATTTAAGGAGACACCGAGTGTAATTAAATATCACGTTACATACGTGGCGGGCAGCAGATGAACCACGGGAACGTGTATGATAAATAAAAGCGGGTCGGCCGGTGAAAAGAGCAGCCGGCCGCCGCGGACGGCCGCGGACGTCTAGCACTCGAATGAAAATAAAAGACGGGATCCCTGTCCTACGTGGGGGACGCGGGATATTAAAAACAAAAGTGGTCCGCGGCAGGGAGGCGTCGCGGCGCCGCGCACCGTTTCGCGGCGTGCGGGCGCGGCGCGACGCGACGCAACGCGACGCGGGTTCATTTGGAACGTGATTCGAGCGAGCCGGCAAAGAGGGTTGAAGTGCGTCACGCGGCCGTCCTTGATTGTTTCGCTACGCAACGCCATTGTTCGCAGCGTGTATGCGCGTTTTCGTCGCGCGGAGGCAACCGCGGCCAGAAAACCGGCGCGGTGGCGACTGATGCGTCCGTCAACGGGGAAACGGAGCGGAGGAACAAAAAAGAGAAGAAAGAAATGAAAAATGCGGAACGAAGAAAAAGGAGAAACAGAAAAAACAATATTTACGCCGGATGCATATTCATGCGGCGCGACGCTGACATCTCCCGGTCCAAGTGACGCGGATAAATATGCATAAAATTCCTGCATTAGCCGGAATTCAGGGTGACGGCGATCGTTCATGACGCTCCGATTAATTTGTTCTGTTGCATCCGTCGCGGCTGAATGTCGGTCGAGGAGTGTACTTCGTATTATGGATCGATCTTGCAATAATTCTACGAGAACCTCGAATAACCTTTTCTTTGTTAGCGGAGAAATGCCATGTACGGGACAGTTTTGTTTAGGGCAAGATAACAAACGAACTAGACAACTTATCTGGTTCTAGTTTGAAAGATCTTGACAGATCGGTTCTTTTGCTATAAGACTGTATAGCGTCGATGAGTTTTAACCAACGTTTATTTCATCTATTTTTTCAATTTGTTTGAACAGTGCATTTTACAATCGGTTGTATCGAATGGGACAGGCACATTAACCCCTTAATGCACAGTTTGTTTTTTTTTAAACCGGGCAAAAAAAATCAATTTTTATATACTGCGCTTTTGTTCCATGGAAAAAGGCTATATTTTATTCTTGAATAAATAAGTGTTACAGAGCTTACATGTAAATGATAAATATCAATAAAACGATTTTTTTCTTTGCTTTCACATTGTTATGTTCAATTTTCGATTATATTCGAGTGTGAAAAATTATAGCAACATCAAATACAACGCCGCTCGAATTATCTCGAGTGTGCACAGTTTGGCCTGTTTAGCGCGCTCGAATAAACTCGAGCGTACAAGTTAAGGGGTTAACGAATGGTATCAAAATAAAGTAATCTCGTGAGTATATTGTTCTTCATAACGATCCTAAATTAGCTAAATTTTTCTTTGCATCTTCGCTTAATATCAGATTGTAGTATCTCATGAGGAGAAATAAATCTTCCAATGAATGGTGACCGAAGATAATTAACACACATATTTCTCAATAAAAATATCTTCGAAATTATCTAAATAGATATCCTTAAAAAATGGATGGCATAATAAACAAAAGATGTTTTTGTTGAGGTTATGTCAAGGTTATGTCTTGGTATTGATCTTGCGAGTATTGTTCTTCATAAGGATCCTAAGTTAGCTAAACTTTTCTTTGCATCTTCGCTTAATATCAGATTTTAGTATCTCATGACGAGAAATAGATCTTCCAATGAATGGTGACCGAAAATAATGAACGCAAATTTCTCAACAAAAATATCTTCCAAATTATCTAAATAGATATTCACTTTAGATAGATAGATTTTCACTTTGCATTCACTCATTTAGTACAGATCTTCGTTCGAGTGAACATTCAACGTTAGCCGAGGAGTTAATTTGTAGGGATGTGATTTCGATGATGATGGAGATGAAAAAAAAGAACAGTAAGAAGAGCTTCGAGGAGAAAATTCGGGAAGATGGTGGATGTTATTTGGGAGTAATGAAAATGGTGGAGAAGCGGCAACGTAAAACTGTCGCAAAAATTGTTGGCCCGCAAGGCTTCGTGGGTAAGGACTGGTTTGCTTAACCTTTTGCGTACCACGAGCCACTTTTGCGCTCTTCAGATTTTGTGTCGAAACGTGCTCAGTCTTTCGGACGCATGTATACGTCGCGCGTCGCATCGCTATCAGTAATCCAATTTGCATTTTGTTGTTACCTATTCTAAATTAATAGTATATGTATTTTCATTCATAACGTTTTATTTGATGTTTTACGGCTTTTTTCGACACATAATCGAAGGAGCGCAATTGCGCTCTTCAGCGCTTTTCGATCCTGTTTTTTCAGAACCATTTGGTACGCAAACGAGTAATCTCTAGAATTGAACTAAGGTCACGTGACCTTCTGATCATCAATGCGGCCCTTCCTTTAATAGAATTCTGTCCTGGCCCGATCCTCATGGAACGATCGGAGGACCCGTGTTCGGCGTCGCAAAACAATTTCCTCGAAACTATGAACGTTGAATCCGCGCAGCTGTATCTTCTTTCTCGCCCCGAAATTTCGTCACCCAGTATTTCGCGCGGCACAAAGGAAGAGTCTGAAGAACGAAGGGGTGGAAGCGTCGTTCTGCGTCTGATGGGGATAGATTTGCTTAGCGCGCCCCTCCGGGTTTCCAGCCTGGCTCCGCGCGGGCAAGAAGAACCAAAGAATAATGCGCGTTTTATACGGCAGCTTGGCCAAATTTCCCGTAATTTACTCGACAAATGGACAGAAAGCGTCGGAGACGTCGAGGAAGATTCACGCGATCCGGATCCGGTAATCGGCGAGCGGATCGGCACACAGAACGCGCCGCGACGCCGGACAAAATTCGATTAACCCCGCTCGATAACACGGATACACGTATAAGCGTGCTTCTAGTTTTCACATTCCTAACAGCGATTAACCCTTTCGCTACGGGCGGGTTCTCCGCCGCGGTACTTCCGCTGAACGGAGCGCCGCGACATCANAGTTTTAACCAACGTTTATTTCATCTATTTTTTCAATTTGTTTGAACAGTGCATTTTACAATCGGTT